GCTGAGCCCAACGCCCACGAGCTTCGTGTGCGCACTATTAAGTTCAATTCAGCAGCCATTGATTTTGCCTTATCTTGTGTGAATAGTCCCGTCAAGGAAACGTTTTTCGCTTACATTTCGGTAAACCATTCAATCAATTTTCTTATCCGTTCTGGAAATGCAGGTCCTCTCAACTTTTTATGTGACGTATGTTTACCAGACGCAACGGCATTATCGATACAGTTTTTATTTTTATGATTGTTGATAGCGTTAACTTTGATATAATAAATTTTTCCGCAATTTTAGTTTTTGTCATAGCATTCTTTTCTATTTCTTCCAAAATTTCTAATTTTCGTTTTAAACGAATTGATGTCCTTTTCGAATTCATTTTTTAGGGTAGCAATAATTTATTCGGCAACCCGAATCGTTCGCGAAGCAAGTAAGTCGTAACTCGTCCACTTCCAAAGCTAAACAATATAAACTACAGTTCGAGTCAATATACAGTCGATATATGTATAGAGACAAGTTATTCGCCGAGTTCCAACCGTTACATCTTCGGGGAATACCTCCGCACTGAAGATCGATAACTGCATTACTGTTCGATGAAAAACGTGATAAGTTAGTCCCTTTAGACGCTAGAGATGGAGTATGGTTTAGACTGAGTAGACATGGAAAATTTTCGTGTTCGCAATTACGGTAATACTTAGTTTGCATTGAAATTATATTCTACGGATGAAATAATTGTTCGTAGTTCATTATAATGAAAAAAGTGCCATATAAAATGCGTTGAAGACATTTGTGGCATAATTTTGGTTCGCAATAACGACAATTGCTGATGGTATATTTAGCAATTGTAAATATATAATACATTTCCTTCGTTTCGTTTATTTTCTTTTCTTCATATTCTTCCAGTATCTTAATTCGCGGTACCTCAGGTTTTGATAGATCGTCTCTGGTTTCAATACGTAAATTTTTGAATTTTTTTAGCAGACTATGTAACATGATTATTGTAATTACGTCTTCGTTAATTTCTAAATTCATTTCTTTTAGTTTGTCTACAGTATCAAAGAAATTATTTAAATAATCATTTATATTTTCTCCATCCTTCATTTTCGACAACATCAATTTTTTTAATAGAAATGCCTTTTTAGCAGGTCCGTTTGATTGATGTATTGTTTCTTCCATACTTCATACGATGTTAAATAATGTTTTATTTGTTTTAAGTCTGTCGGGTTCATAGACAGTATTAAGTCTGATCGTGCCGTACTATACTTTATTTCCCATTCCCTTATTTTTTTTTATTGATTCATCATTTTCTGGTATTAAAGTTGTTTTTTTAATGGTCCATTTACATACTCCCATGCGTCATTTTTAATTAATATTGCTTCCATTTGTAACTTCAATGATTCTCAATTATTCTTTTTAAGAGTATAAATTTTAAAACTTGTACACATTTTTTTTATTTATTTTAGTTTGACTTCTTTTTAAGATTTGTTTTTATTACTGTTTTATACCTGTTGTACGTATTTCTTCTAATAATAACATAAACGACAAGTTCCATGCTACATTTGTTTGTGAAAACGAATATAAAACATAGTAGTAGATCACTCATGTCCATAAACCATAATGAGAGTTGCTAAGTGGCACACAATTTATCCGCAGTGTCAACTCCATCTTTTTTCGAATTATAACCTATTATTATTACTGGTTTATTTGTAGCTACATTAATTTTTTCGTCATTATGCATCGTGAAGAGGAGAAGAACGGCTCTACTTTTATGTAGTGCATAAGAAATCAACATTTTGTTTGTTGGAAATCCAAATAAGGTCGATTGAACGACTCGACTTTTATTTGATAAGAATTCTGATGAGATTTCTAGCTTGTTCTTTTTTATTGTTCCAGGCAGTATTATTTTCTTTTGTAGTAGATAATCTGTTAGAGTAAGCTAGAGCAACGGATACTACATATGGACCAACTGATTGCTTATCGAAATAAATTTCTAAGTTGAATCTATAAAAGCTTTAGGTTCGAACATCTGCTCGAAAAATATTGAAAATATTGAAATATTGAAATTGTCATTATGGACCTGTATTTTTCAAAAACGTGCAAACGAGCCGAAACCTTCATATATGACTCAAAACCTATTTATAATACATTTACATCCCTAAATACATCCCAAAATACAGGGTGACTGGTACATAAACGTGAATATTGAAATACGTTGTTCTAGAGCTCATTTGGACTGATTAAGCCAAATATGCCTTATGCAAACCTGAATAGTTTAGGAGTTATTTTAATTTTTTGTTTTTTGTACAAGTTCAGTACATACTCTTACAAATCTTGAAATTTAGAGAGTAATAATAGTTTCTTTGGCAATGTATTGACTTCTCTGGATAGATTACACTCTAATACACATTTTAAGTTGAAAAACGTTTTAAATATTTCGATGCTTTAAAAATGTGAAATATTCGATTTTTAAGTTAATTTTTAAATAATGTGTTCATTTACGGGCGTTTATTTGAAAATTTTGATAATACATTTAGCGTACCAATTATTGTAAAAACTTCTCTGTTTTCTTACATTTCGAATAAGGTATTAAGCACGGCAAAATGTCTTTCTAATTACCCAATAATAAGATAACAAGTTAAACTAAGATTAGAACTAAAACTAGAACTAACACTAGAAACTTTCGGGTTTTGCCGTGCGTCTTTTAATAAAAGGTTTGACGTTTCGGATGCCATGTTGCAACCTTCTTCAGAAACTGGTTCGAAGTGGGACACGTTTCTAGTTTTAGTTCTAATCTTAGTTTAATTCACACCGGCCGTGAAAGCCTTCGTACTTATAAGATAACAAGTGGCGCGAATATAATTTTGACAACTTACCCAAAGTTAATAAAAGTCAAAATCGATTACACCTATTATTTATTGTTGCTTATTGGAACTAAAACATAACGTTAATTTAGACAACCATAAAAAATTAAGCAACTAACATTAAAAAAAAATTAACACAATCATGTGACATAACTTCTATCTCTAACTCAAAAAAACTCAACGCGAAACACAATTGGACCCCCCCCCTGTTGCAATAAGGAACCAACTGGAAAAAAACCTTTCCGTTGGTTTCTTATTCGTAATATGCAAAACGACCTTTTTTAATTCTGAATAAATACTTAACTCATACCTATTAGTAAAAATTATTAGTTGGTTCCTTATTACAAGAGGGCTTCCAATTACAAGTCTGCTTCAAAAACTGCACCTCTATTCCTAATACATGCTCGAGCCCTTTTTCTTATAACCGACCTTGTTATTTTATTTGTAATTGTAGTTCTTAAAACATTTGCTTCATTTTAGATTCTCTCTATTAATTCATCCCTAGTATTGATTTGTGTTGCATACATTCTTTCCTTCATGTGGCCCCACACATAAAAATCTAGGGGCGTCAAATCAGGACTCCTTGCAAGCCATGGAATTGGACCTCCTCTCCAAATCCAGCGGTTAGGAAATAATTCATTTAATCATTTAATTAAATAATACTATTTTCTTAATGAATTTCACATATTTTGTGAATAGTGCGCAGGGCATCCATCATGTTGAAAAACCATGTTATTCCTGTTTTCTAAAGGTACACGGTCCAGCATTTCTATTAAATTATTATGTAAAAAATCACCATACGTTGCGCCATTTAAATGATCGGGAAAAAAATGAGGACCAATCAAATTATTTTCAATGAGTCCCATCCACACATTCACATTAAATTTTCTTTGGTTGCTTGTTTCCTTCGTTAGATGAGGATTTTCGTCAGTCCAATAATGTAAATTATGAAGATTTGTTATACCTTCTCTGTTAAACTTCGATTCGTCAGCATTTAAAAGAAACCGGCAAAATTGAATCCTTCGTTCAAGATCGCCGTCTTCAAGTGCCTGGACAGGTTTGTAATGATAAGGATGGTTGTCCATTTGTCGAAGAGTTGACCAGACTTTCCATTGTGATATCCCCAAATTAGCAGCGACGTTTCTTGTATTGGATGTGGGTGCTTCATCGAATGTTTCCAAAATGTCTTCTTCCACATTAAGTCCAGCACGTCCTACACGTTCGGCTTTTCTTAAATTGCCAGTCTCAGCTAGACGTCGATAAGTGGCGCCANGAGAGTTACTAAGTGGCACACAATTTATCCACAGTGTCAACTCCATCTTTTTTCGAATTATAACCTATTATTATTACTGGTTTATTTGTAGCTACATTAATTTTTTCGAAGAACGGCTTTAGTTTTATGTAGTGCATAAGAAATCAACATTTTGTTTGTTTGAAATTCAAATAATGTCGAATGAACGACTCGACTTTTATTTGATAAGAATTCTGATGAGATTTCTCGCTTGTTCTTTTTTATTGTTCCAGGCAGTATTATTTTCTTCTGTAGTAGATAATCTGCTAGAGTAAGCTAGAGCAACGCTAGTATAGTAGTTGTCACCGTCATTTCGGTTAGAATTTTCAATAGGTTTAACTGATCTCTTTACAACATTCATCAGTTTGTTAGATACTACATATGGACCATCTGATTGCTTATCGAAATAAATTTCTAAGTTGAATCTATAAAAGCTTTAGGTTCGAACATCTGCTCGAAAAATATTGAAAATATTGAAATATTGAAATTGTCATTATGGACCTGTATTTTTCAAAAACGTGCAAACGAGCCGAAACCTTCATATATGATTCAAAACCTATTTATAATACATTTATATCCCTAAATACATCCCAAAATATAAATCCGGCCTTATAAATCAGCAAGTAATGATTACAAATTTTGCCATAAACACAACGTCAATATATTTTTTTTACATTTTTTTCATCATGTTCAAAATACATGGTTACATAAATACTTTAGCGTTAAATCCTTTCAAATGCATAATATAAGGAGATAAATATATTATAAAAACAAAAATTGTCATAAATTTTAGGACGGCGCGCCCGCTCGAAGTTTAATTATTATCATAATTTTGAATATTAATTAATGATTAAATTTAGGTATGACGGATGGAAGAAGGTGACGAGGACGCGGGAGGGGGCGTGGTAGAGGACGGGGTAGAGGTAGGGGTCGGGGCCGCGGGGCACTTCCCGAATATGTATCCCCTTAGCTCGCCTCCCGCAGCCCAACATTTACTGGAAACACTCGGATCAACAAAAAAAAAAAAAAATACCGCGGTCAATCCATTCAGCTCAGCACCCATATTTCAAAATATTTCTACGTCTAATTTTAAGGCTTTAGTACTTTTATTGGGATTCAATTACAAAGCTAAAATGAATCAATTTTTAATAATTGGAACTTAATAAACAACATGATTAAATGTAAATAAAAGGAATTATCGAATTAATATAAAAAACAATTAAATAAATAAAGGGTGCAGTACTAAAGCTTTAAAAAAATCCATTATTTCTATTTAATGAGAAGAGAAAACAAGAAACTGATGTAAATGTTGTCATGTGATTCTTATTAATCAAAGTATTAATTATTGTAGTATTTTCTTTTGGTTAGTTTTTTTTATAAAGTAAACTATGGTGTTGTAAAAATAATTTTGGTTAAATAATAATTAAATTTAAATTTTTTAGGTTATAATCATTTCTTTAGATTGTTTAAATAACAAAGAAGAATTTAACCAAGGTAATTTTTCGGATTACACAGTATTATCGTTATTATTAATTAATTACATTGTTATAATCGAACGAACAGTACCGAATTTCAAAATTGTGATATCAGAAAAGGGATTAAAAGTAAAATAAAATCTTAGCGTAACCAAATATTTCCTACACTATGCAGAGGGTGAGTTTAAAAACTATGCAAAATTTATTTTGCATAATTTTATTACTTCCTCTATGTATACTCTATTATTATTATTATTTTATTAAAGATATTCAACTTTTTTTTGTCTTTCTATTTTGTGATATCTTTATCCCTATGATTTAATCTTATTCAATCATTATACAGGCATCTCATGAAGTTGGATATGAAATAATCTATTACTTCAAGTGGTGAAGTCTCCTTAAGAGCCCACTTTGCTAGGTCGGTTAGTTTCTGAGGGGCTCAGACGACGGACGTTCGGAAGCAAGAAGGCGGAGTTTATTTTCTACTAGGCCCGACCTCTTTTAGATAAAAAACATCAAATATTTTCGTGCTCTAGATGTATTTGTTTACATATTGCGTGAGTAATACGACCATCAGTATTTTAATGTTTTTTTATTTTTCGATATGAATACAATATTAATTTTTTTAACAGAGAAATTAGAGAAAGACGAGGACATCTAAGATTGGGGATTTGTAATTCAGTGTAAGGCAAAAATCAATCGTAAATACAATAAACAATTTTGGGGAGTGAAATAATATATTATTTATTTGTTTATAAAATAACATTTATAAATACATTTTATATTGAAGGGGACATATTCGCAATAGATGGAATGTGAAAAGTTTGGTACAAAATTTATCAATTACATCTTTTTTTTTATTATTATGCGCTCGTTTGATATGCAGGTGATTCAGAACAACCGTGTAGGTAATTTTAGTTGAAAACAGAGGTAGCTACAAAGTTGAAATACAAAATTTAATAACTTAATTGTACGTAAACAATCTTATATACTTGTCTCGGTTTCTCTGTTGTGGTATTTTAGGGGCGTATGGCCGATCAGGAAACCAGAGAGCGACCTTAGGTTCTTTTTGCTAAGGCATGAAACTTCTTTTGCGACGGAGTTATCATACTTTTCGCTTGTCTGTGTCCTGGAAGTGTTTTCCAGCATAAGGCTATCTTTGGGGTCTCTCATGTACCAGGCTCCTCTTTTCAGTTGAGGCTCACCCTTCATCCAATCATCCCCGCTTCTAAACATGACTATATGGCTAGTCGAAATTATGTTCTGTCGATATATGAAACGTTTTAATTTCAATCATGTGGTTTACACATGGGTCCTGAGGATTTCGAAATGTCCTGTAGGGTTACCTGCATGATCTTGAGTGAAGAAGATGTTTTTAGTGATAAGGCGCTTAAAGCTGCTTCCTTTTGTATATACAGATGAGGTGGTGTGATCTCATTGTACCTGTTAATAAACAATAATAAATAAAACAACCCTGAAAATGGGAAAATCTTCAGGAAATTTTAATTATCTTTCTATTGGATAATATACAGTTCGCGTCATAAGTAAGCCCTTACATGGTCTAATTTGAAGATGGTTCGAGATATCGTCATGAGCCATACATATCGATTTTTATTTTTTATTAGCCCAAATATTTTTGCATGAAAAATTAATTATTTATCAGTTTTAGTTTTTCCGGAAAATGGGTCTATTGAAATTGAAAAAAAATATATTTAATATTTGAAACATAGTTTTCCAAAAAGTACGATCCCTGTATATCTGAAACGTAAAAAAAATTATAATAAACAATTTATTTATTATTAATCAATAAAAAACGAAATTCGAGGAGTTCCCAAACTTGTCTTTTCTACGTAATTTTTACCAGTTCTACTTCGAAGCCTTTGGATGTCCAACATACAAAATAACATTTTTCGCGGTCTGCTATTTCAAGTTGACCCTGTACTTGATAATAATAATTATGCTTTCGATGCAACTGAAAATTTCCGCTATCATTTATGAAAGCAAATGTAATTTATTTTGGTTTATTGCTTCGAATGGATGTAAATTTTTTGAATTTGCTGGACACTTCACCTCTACAATGGCGTCTTCGTTTTCAACTACTCCATCTGGACTTGCAGCTCAGAATCCATACTCCTTGTGGATGAATAGCCCGCAAGAGTTTACTGACAAGTTATATTTCTTTTCGAATTCTTTTACTGCAAGCCATTCATGGTCTTGGCCATATTTAGTGGTATTGTTTCCAGCAAATTTCGAATACAAGATGGATTTTACTTTATTTATGCAAGATGTACCATTTCTCATCTTACACACTTCACCACACCTCGATGCAGTTAGGCGCAAAGACCTTTCCTGGATCCAGTTGTGATTGGTACTTTGGCCTCTGCTAAGAATTTCGATTTTATTTCTATTGATACATCCATCCTGTAAGTTTGCAATAAATTCTTCTTTCTTTCTTTTGTAGTCTTCGTTTGAAATGTCACTTGTAACCAAATTGCTATCACTATCTACAGCACCATAATCCTGATCGGCTCTCGCTACTTTTTTCGTTCGATGACGACGTTTTCGATTTTGCTGTAATTGTCGTTGTCGAAGAATTCTTGATCGATGTTTTTGAATCAGAATCGAGCTTTCTTCTCTATGTGAAAGCGATCGGTACATTGTATCGTAATACGATTCTTGCGAATTGAACGATAGTGCAGAAGCTTCACATCTCGTTTGATAAGACCCTCTTCTAGAAAANTCCTTAAAACGCTTGGGACGACAACCTAAGTGCTGGAAGGAAATTGGGACATTAATTTCGCAAGATGAAGTAGAAAGGGTTTCAACAAGAGATTTGTTAAAAGGTAATCTTTACACTCTCATAATTTATAAAGAATCGTCTTATTTCTAGAAGCCATAATGTACAAGTAATTGTAATAATATAACCAAAACCAAGTCATTCATTATTTTTCTTTTAAATATTGCATAATCGTAGGTGAAATTATGAAAATTTGTTTTTGTACTAATAAAATAAAATGTTGTAAATATGATAGAACTCATTAAGTATTGTTGGCCGTTTATGTTTTTTTATTGTATTTAATCCAGGTAAAGTCAATACGAAGTAATTTCGTAGAATTTTGACAGTAACATAACCTCAAATTTCATTTTTCATTAATTTTTTATTGTAATTCATGTTTGTTCGGTTGAATCTATTGAAAACGATAATCTTAGCATGTCAAGAACGAAAACCATCCATCATATGGGAGTTTTGATGAAGAATTGGACGAAAATCCGTAGATTAAATATTTGAATGTATTTTTGAAGCTGGACGTTGAAATCTAAAAGAAAATGTTCCGAAATCAGCACAAACAAAGTTAAATCAACAAAACTACAACATTTCATACATAAATATTGTTAAAATAGAAATTTAATAATTTTTGATAAAATTTAATTGGTGACATTTGACATTTTAAAGTTGGCTATACCGGAGAAATTTAAATTACGAATTTCAAGTTGAAGAATTTAACCAATCAGAAGACGTTATTTAAAACGTTCTAGCATTAAACAAACGAAATTGGTACATTTTAGTTGATTTTAGTGTGATTTCGAACGTGACGAAGAGTGCACGCTAATTTTGCCCGCGATCATTTAAAATTCCGAAGAATTATTCGAATCCAATCAAGAATTATTGTTACCGAGTCCTTTTGAAGAGTCAAAGCTTCCATATCCGAGAACTTCAGTAATCTACAAGATTAGCTAAGTTATAATTTTGAATTTCATTATTACTCGTTTTTATTTTAATTTTCAACTTACCTTAAATACGAGTACCTAATTTATGTTATTATGTATTTTAATTAGATGAGGGAGTTTGATCTATGTTGACCAGTTATTTTTTATATAATATAAATTCAATAAAAAGCAATACTTTTTCTGGTCTTTTTCAATTTATTATGACACTATAATGAGAATTACAATTAATATGATATAAATAAACTTAAAATGAAATACAGATACTTACTTAGAAATATAGATTAGATTTTAGCAAGTTATTTTCCATTTAGTTGTTCATAAAAACGGCTTCACAAACGTATATAATTTAAAATTATAAATATAAACACATTAAAACTCACGTTAAAAGTTAAAATTTACACGTTAAAGTAGTATAGTATTGTTTTATACAGGTGTCCGTTGAGGCATTCGAGAAACTTTGTATATGAATTCTATAATTAATTTTAAGCACAAATGATTCTATTCACTTTTCCCGAATTCCAAACGGTTGTTGAGATATCGAGGTTTGAAGTTAACAGATCGTGAATAGGATGNCAGCAACTCAAAAAAAATGGAGTTTCCAACTCCATTCAAAAATGCATTATTATGGCCTGAAACGGAAACCAATGTTAAAGCAGGAAGAAATTTCAAAAAGAAATTAATTCCAACGGTAGCTACATCTACAGAATTTATGGAATACCAACGACGCATAGATGCCGAGAAGAAGGAAAAGCTAGAGAAAGCTGAACTTAGAAAGAAAAACAGAGAAGATAAAGCTAATGTCAAACTAAATAAACATATTACCGGGAAAAGTACTAAACAGGAGAAGATTATAAAAACGAAAAAGATACACAACAGTGAGACACTACAATCGGACGATACTGTAAAACAAAAGATAAAAGAGACAAAACACACGGCAACGCATAATAACGAATTGTCCCTGAAAACAGGAGATTACGTGGTTGTAAAATATGAGGGAGAAAATTTCCCAGGAATTATCACTAAGATCCTTAAAGGTAACCCAAAGACGTATGAAGTTAAAGCCATGAGTATGAGTAGTTTAGATAAAATTACTGGTCAAATCAATTGGCGTTGGCCACAAAAAAAGGACATCCTTATTTACGAGTACGAAGATATTGTCAAAAAAATAAAACCTCCGGTATCAATAAATAAAAGAGGGGTTTACTTAGTTGAAAATTTCCAGTAAATAGATCAATTTCTATATATACATTTGGCTGCGCAAGCGCGGGCATTTAGCAAAAATTTAAGAATTACGGCTCGATCCGAACCACACACACACATATTTTTGACTTCGCCTTTGTAACGCGACTNTTCAATCCTTTGTCCGAGCTCTCGTTTCCAGTTGTAGTTCTCCATATTGTTTTTTACCTCTCGAAACGCTGCATGAATGTTTTGTATAAGTTGGTCTCTATTATTAGGCTTTTCCGTTGAATATGTAAGTGTCTTTACATGTCCCCACATGAAAAAATCTAGTGGGGTGAGATCCGGAGATC